ATAGTATTGTGAGAATAACAACAAAATAAAAGTGAAAGCACTTACTTGTATAACATTAGAATATGAAAATAAGTGCAAAATATGGTAGTTATTTACATATATGTATATTATTAAATATTTTATAATATTTTTATAGCTTTTATACCGGACATACATTACAATTACAAACCAAAGTTTATAATTTACATACTCTTGTCAGCAATTAATTTTAAAATTAAGAAATAAAATCATAAATATAGAAAAAAAATAAAGTTGAGAAATTATTTTTGACTCAAAAAGCTCATTCTGCAAATTTACTACAATTATTAACTATGGACTATGTATAACACTTTCATATATTCGGCTTTTAATTACGCAAACTTTTATATTCGAAACTTATTAATGACCTCATATATTTGAAATTACAAGAAAACAACTTGGAAATTACGTGAAGGATGCTAATCCTTTATTAACTTTAATGACATACAAACAATGTCTAAAAATGTTAAGCTTCTAAGAAGATATTGCATACTTTTAGGATTAAAATAATTTATGAGTGAACTGACTATGCATATGCAGCTACAGACTCGCAATTTTATTCGTTATCACAAATTCAAATGTAAATTAGTAAAATTTATGTTTAAGTAAAATGAAAAAACACACACACACAAAATAATAAATTTCGTTTTTTCTAATTTTGAACTTCTGAACTTTAGACCTTATAACACATAATACTGAAAGTTTTTTTTTTTAAAATAAATTCATGCACACCTGCATACCTATGTGTACTTGCTCATAATTGAGACAAAAAAATCTTAACCCTTTTTCATATTAAAACTTTTGTTAATTTTGCATACACTCATATTAACACACAATACAAGCACATACAATACAGCTATTATATTATGTAAAAATATGTATATGGGTATAATTTTAGCTCTCATACATATGCAAATTTTATTCATGCATAAATTAGAAAAATATTCTTAAGTCAATTAAATGAATTAAGGAAATAAAATTTTTTTTATATACTTAATCCTTATATTTTAAATACACACATACATTGTATATATAATTAAATAATTCTAAAATAGATTTTAATAATATAATATACGAAAAAAAATTACAAAAATTGCATTATGGAAGGTCAGTTTTTTCTACTATATAGTAAAATTAACCCTATGTACGGCACGAATTACATTAACCCTTTTTTCAACTATGTATATTCTTGCCTAAGAGCTCTGAAATCTATAAACATATAAACTTTTTTTTTGCATAATTACGAAAATCCTTAAAAAGAAATGACGGTATAAAATTTCCCATTCAAGCAAAATACAAACAGAAGAGAACAAAACCGAAGCACTTTTTTTTTTAGCTACAGAATTTCTCTTCTGAAAAGGGAAATAGTTTTTAAGTTGAGTTTTGATATACATACAATGTTATGTCAAATTTCTTAACATCAACTAAAACAAAAAAAAAAATTAAATCCGTTTTCAGTTGAAAGTTTATTATACCTTTAAAAATTAATAAATAACGGTTAATTTCCCGTAAAATTTTACGGGATCAAAATAATTTCTCATCTCGTTTCTAATCGCACTCAGTTTTCCTCTTCAGAAGAAACCGTTTTTGGGTATTTTGAATTTAATTAGTATACCTATAATTTTCTAAATTAAAGTTATTAAATTTTTAGAACAAATTTGAACTTTCTGGGATTTAAAGGGTTAAATAACTACGATGTTTGACGACCTACATATAACATGTTATATATATATTTATAAATATGCATGTTTATATATTTTTTTTGCTATACAAAATATTTGATTTTAATTTTTGGGAAAATGTGATAAAACACGAACATAAAATTTTCATACAAAAAGTTATTTATGTGTACATAAAGTATATAAACTGTTATATTTCTTATATATATATATAAAAATAGTAATAATCTTCATAACTATATATTGTATTTTGTATTTTTAAACACATATAATATTTTTAAAAGAATTAATGTTATAAAAATTTTGATTTGATAAGCAATTATTTTTAGATCAAAAACATAAAAAACTTTTATACAACTAGAACTTTTATGATTTTTAGGTGTTATACTTATGATTTTTAGGGACTATAGTAGTTTGATTTTTCATGAAATTTCAAAATAGTTATAGGGTAGGAAAAACTTTTAATATTAAATAAATGTTTACATACTCAGCTTTTGAAATATTTTTTTCTTAATTAAGTAAAATTTAAGTATATTAAAATTTATTAATTATAATTTAGAATCTTTTTCGTGTACATAAGTGCCTATAATAAAAATAATAAATTATTTTACTGGTATAACACGCAAATTTACAATTTATGTTACTTTTCGATCGTTTTAATCATACACACGAGTATAACAATAATATCATTGATTTTTCTCGTGCTACTAAAAGTTATATAGAAATTTTAAAGATTTTTATTAAAAAAATTTAAATATTATTTCTATAACAAACATTTTAAAATTTGATGCTATAAGCAAATGCATAAAAACTGTTATACGACCAATTGCAACAATAATTACAAAATCAAAAATTGTCAAAAAAAAATTAAGCAAAACTTGACAAAATAAAAATAAACAAATCGCTGTAGCAAAATAGTGGTATTACTTTTGTTTTTTGCTCCAAATTCTGGAGTGGAGTACCTTGTCGCACAACTACAAACTAAAACAAACTTCTTTGTGTACAGTGTAGTAAGAATAAACTTCTACTCTACTCTCAGTACTTATTGTAAACAAAAATGTTATACCGTATGCTTATTTTGTATAACACTCAACATCTCATGCATAAAATTACATAATAACTATATAACATTCAAAAGGGAAATTTAGAAGGGTTTGTTTGTGGAAATTTATTATTTTTTTTTTATAAAGTTAAGTCTTATATAAAAGCTTTGATAATTTGCCAGAAAGTTTATATTCAAAATTGTATTAATGCCTATATTAAGTTAATGGTTTTAGATTTTCATAAGTTCAAAGCAACTTGTTGTATAATGTATGCCTTTACATTATTTTAATATTTACACATACATATAACACATACATATAAGTACTCTTTGCAAAAAACATTTTGAATAAAATAAATTAGAGATTAAAAATGTCACATTAATTTCAAAGGTACATAATTTTTTTTTTGTAAATAATTAAAAAACATAAAATAAAATTTCTGAAAAATTAATTTCAGTTATGGTTTTAGCTTAGAAAACATACATGAACTGTTATATGTATGTGTGCATGTATTCAAACAATTCTATAATATATTTTTTTTGCTAAATGTCATAAGACTTCGTAATAGTTTATAATTTTACTATGTAATTCTAATACATAACATTTTATTATAAAATCTCACGCATATTTTATATTAACTTATATATAGAAGGGAGAAAGGAGGGGGAGAAAAAAATTATGACATCAATTTCAAAGAGAATATTTTCAATACTGTCAAGTCAAATCATCGTAATAATAACAATTCACAATAAAAAGAGAAAAACTATAAAATAAAAAAAAAATTAAAAAATTTTCAAGGTTATGTTTGCGATTTCGAGAAAAATGACAATTTTTTCCAAAATGGATTCACAAATGATTTTTCTTTTTTTTCTAGTTTTATAATTTTTCATTTTCTTTTTATAACTTTATTTAGAACGTCACGTTTTTTTTCAATTACTTGCTTTGTTATTTAAGAAATTGAAATTAAAATTAGCAAAAAAAAACACAAAAATCAAAATATTGATGTTATATAATTAAAACAGTACATTACTTAATTATTATGAGTGTATGACATAATTATGATAGCAAAAATAAAAAAAAATGGTTTATAACAAAATGTTTACGAAATTATTAATTAAAAAAAATAATTACTTATTTGACAATTTACCGGAATAAGAGAATAATTTTTCGAAATCGGCAACTCCACTCGAAATATTTAGTGCTCTTACTCTCATATTTTAATGAGAATAAGCGCACAAGCAGAGACACATTAAAAGTAATACGAAATTAAAATTGAATTTTTATTAAATTTGAAATATTCGAATACAAAATTACAATAATTATTAAAATATTGCATATAATGAAGTACTTTTTATATTTGTGTTAGTACTTAAAATAAAATTGTACTAAAAATTGTAATTTAGAAATAGTTCATATTCAAAAATGGTTTAAAATTGAGAATGCTAATTGTTATGGTAAAACATTATGTATAATAAAAGAGTAATACAAAAATTAAGTATGAATGAGAAAAGTGTAAAAGTCTGCTAACAGTACGTGTAACAACATTGTTTCTATATTTTTGACAATAGTATGAGTAGGTCTTCAGTTACATAAAAAATGTCTTAATTTTTACAAGAATTTTACAAAATAAAAATAATTTTATGTCATAAAGACGACATTAAATTTTATTAATAAATAAGAAAGCCATAAGAATCTTACAACTGAAGGGGGCTACTTGTATACAAAATTAAAAATTCACAAATTGTACAAGTTGATGGCATGAGATTAAAATCTTAAATTCGAATTATGTAATGGTATGCAAGATTAAAATCTATTAAAAACAAAAATTTAATGACAAAGCTATAAAAAACAAATAAATCTGAAAATTTAATAAATTAGTAAAGATTGTGCGTAACTCAGAAATTTGTATGATAGGGTCATATAATTTAAAATTAAAATTTTATAATTAGTCGGGGTAGCAAATTTTAGTTTTGAGTTTCTTAACACTTAATGCTGTTTGATTTTAAAGTTTTAACTCTTAAGCTCAGGATCTTATGTACCATATCAATATAAATAACAAAAACAAGAAAATGATCTAATTTCGAAGAAAGAAGTCTTAATTTTTTGTACCCTATTAGCTAAAATACAAAAATAATTCGAAATTTTAATAATTTTTAAATAAAACCACAAGAAAACAATAAAAAAAATTAAAAAACCACAATTTTAACAGTCGAAATTTTATAAATAAATTTAGAATAGACAAAAAAAAATTTGTGCTTACCCTGCTGTTAAATCCAAGAAATGATAATTTTCTTGATCGTGCATCAAATGGTTTACTCATTTTGTTGTTGATTTAAAAAATGTTTTTTTTTTGCAATATCAGGTTTTTGAATCCAATTTTCAATTTAGAAATCTGAAAATAAAAATAACAAATTAGTTAATTAAATTAAATTGTTTTTTTTTTTTTGCGAAAATAATTAAATTAAAAAATTCACAATAAATTTAATAAAATATTTGTGTCATTTTTTTAAAAATAAACAAAATTAAAAAAAAAATTGAACGGAATGCAGAGCAGCAATGTTATTGAAAAAATAATGCTGGGTACTAAGTGACCATATTGCATATTATACAAAAATTTCTGATATGTTAGGCTTGGGCTGCAAAGTGACATTACTTTTTGCTACATTTGCTACTTAAATATTTCAGTATAACATAATTCAAAGAGTGAAAATATTTTTCACTTCTAATTTTCTGTGTTTTCTTTGAAATGTTAACGGTATTCCTCTCATGATTTCTACTGATACTCTCATAGTTTAAAATCACTCAGACTCAGATTGGATTTTTATAGTTTTATTATGAATTGAGAGCAATATATCTCATTAGTTATTATTAATGGAAACAATATATTGCTCTTATAATGAGCTGTTAAATTTAATGCAACACAGCGACAAAAATAATTGTAACCATTATCAAAATATTATTCAGTTCACTAATTTAAAAATTACTAAAGTTTATAAAGGCTATACAACATGAGATACCGATAGTACCAAAGCCTCAGAAAATAGAGTATTTGTCGATGCGACATACCGAGTGACGACTTCAATTGAATTACAAAATAATGTATTTTTTTAATGTTGAAACAAAATATGACATAAAAATTACACTAAAAAAATAAACATGTGTAAGAAATTGAGTAGATTGCAAACCCCCAGTATATAATGAGCAAAATATTGAGAATAAATTTTACTGTTGCTCTGTCGCAACGAATTTCGTTATCGTTGTGTCGCAGCAATGTGAATAATGCGTTATCCGGTACTCAATATTATTACAGCTATATGTGTCACATATAATACTTGCGAACATTACAAAATTTAAGTTTTCTCTTCACTTACAAAATACTCAAATTATCACAATTTATATTTTTTTATGTTTTTTTTTATTCGCATAATATTTGTATTTGTATACAAAAAATCTTATTAAACCGGAATATTAAAATAATCTTTCTTGTATAAAAGAAGAGATTTAAAAAAAAATTTTTTATTTCGTTGTTTGCTTACTAAAATATTTTGTTTTTGTTTTTTAAATAGAAAATCAATCACGTAATTATGCTTAAGAGTTAAAAAATAACAATCTTTCTTTAGAATTTTAAGGACTTCCTTTCCTCTCTCTTTAACTCTCTCTCTTAATTTCTTTCTCTTTAACTCTGTCTTCTGATCCTACACATGATTTGTGATTTGGTTTGTTTTTGTTTTGATTATATCGATTGCTTCTCTTCTCATTTAACATTTTCAACATTAATCAAAATTTTTGTATTCAACTATATACAAGGATTTGGAATTTTTACGCTAAATTTAATTTTTCCTCTTATAGCTTACATATTATTATACCTATCCTTCTTTTTCATATTCTTAAAGTTTTTGATATTTTATTTCCTTCTCTGTGTTTTAAAGATTTGTTACTTGTGTGTTTTTTAATGTATAGGATAAGAAATGAAACGTATAACATAAAAATTGTTACAATGCACGTTTTATTTACCAAAAAAATTTTTGTTTGTAAATCATTTTATTACAAGAAACATAAACGTTTATGTACACCCATTAATCAAACTCTACTTACAAAGAATATTGTAAGTATAGAGAATTTAAAGTATTTAAAGTATGTATGTTTTTTGGTTCATACAGAATGTATGAAATAATGTGGGGTAAATGTAGACATATGTACATAAGAATTCTAAGTTTTTTTTTTAAAAAAATAGTGCCGTTTAACCAAAAATCATTCTATTGGTTTGTGAGAAATGTTCGTTTATTCACATTATTTGAATTTTTCATTGCTGTGGTTAGTAGTGTGGTTTCTGATTTCTCATAATACTTAACATTTGTAAAATAACTTAATTTGTTGTTTTGTTTGATTCAAAATTTTGCCTTATAATAAAGACAAGTGAAGTTTTTAAATTACAACTAGCATGATTATTCTTCCAAATAACTTGTCACCAAATTTTACATTTCTAAACAAAAAACCTCTAATCTCCCAGCTTAATAATTAAATGTTGTATAGCATTTTATTTTATTGTGTTGCATATTATTTCATATTGTCATTATTAATATTTTTCAAGTTCAATAGTCGACCTATTTATCAGACAAAATACATAATTATAATATTTGCCACCCAAACAAAAAAAAAAAAAAACAATTAAAAGACTAAAACACGTTTTTTTTTTTTTAATCGCACTTATACTTGCTATTGTATAACAAAACCAAGCTGATTCTCTTATAATATTAACAGTTATAAATTGTGTGTACAAACATATGTGTATGTATAAACAAATTTATTGAAAATTACCAATACATCAGCATTTTCTTATCAGTGTGACAGCAAAGCAAGCAACAAAAAAAAAAAAAATCTTGTTTTAATAAAATATCGTTTGTTCTGTTGCTAATATTGCTGTCGTTATTATCAGTTCGGTATTGTTTGAATCATACTTATGTACGACAAACATACTAGTTTGATTATTATTATTTTTTTTTCATTTTTAACTTTATTCAGATTTTAATCGCATACCTACATTCTAATTAATTACTTAATTAGTACGAAAAATCTAATTTTATGTCATACATAATAATCAACAATTTTTGACAGTTTGTTTGTATTTCCATTTTTATTTTTTTTTTTTATTACTCGTATCATTTTGTTTAATATTTTAATTGTTTTTGCCACGATGTGTCGCGTCATATCGTCTCCGGAATTTTATATTTTCAAATGAATCTGTCTAATAACAATTTTTAATATTAATAATTTTAATAATTTTTAAAATAAAAAACATTTTTTATTTTAATAGAATAAATATTAATATTGACGAGATAATGTCATTATGGCACTTGTATAACAATAATTATGACGTATAACAAAATAATTATGACGTATGACAAAATAATCGTTATGATTACAATATTATTAAATATGAAAAATTATTTATTAATGGGACTAGTTTGAGGCATACAATGGGCATGTAACAAATTCGATAAGAAAAGAATTTAATACAAAATTTAAAAAAAAAAAAATTATAAAAATTCTTTAATTATCAAATTTATTTCAATTATTTGAAATATTATTTGTTTACATTTAATATAAACTATGTATAACATTATAATTAATGGAATTTTTCTATTCCACTCAATTTTTTCCTTATCATGTTAACTTGGTAACATTAAAAATTAAAAATATTTTAAAATAGAATCAGAGAATGCAGTTTAATAATCTTTATAAAACGAAATTTTAGTACATACATACATACATACATATGTAAAAGTACAATACAAAAACACACGAACGACAAGAGCTAAAATTGTAATTTAGAACGGAAAGTTTTCTTAAACAAAAATGAGTGAACGTTTTTCAAAATATTCTTCTTATATTTCCTCTATTTGATTAATGATTATCAACTACTTAATTTTTTGAGTTTTCGTGCAAATATTTTTACATTCTTATGCATTGAGTACATACTTATGTATAATATATCACAATTTAATTAACATATTATCTGTAATAATTAATCAATCACTCATATTTCTATTCTTTAATAAATAACTTAATAATAAGTGTAATATTGAGTTTAGTTTTTCTTAAATTCTTGCTCTCTCATAATTTCTCATAAATCTCAACAAAATATCAACTTTAACCGCCTTTTTTTTTGTTCCATTTATATGAGTAAATGTGATTTGAAGAAAATTTTTAATAATTAATACTCTCTCTCTTTAGAATTCACTTAATGCAATGTTAACATTTATGTATACGTTTGTATAGCTTGTAAATATAAACATTATAATTACTCATTTCTAAAATTAAACCGTTAATTAGAGTTCAAAAATTCTTTTAAATATAAATAATCCCATTTAATATGTTATAATAAATCAGAGAGAATTAAATTTTTTTTGTATGATTTATTATATGTGAAATTTGTTGTTATCACAGTAATAAATCCATTACCGACAAATTATTTAATAATGAATAATCCGTTCACATCCTCTTATGCCTATAAATAATTCAAATATGAGTATACATTTAATAATATAATATGTATATATATACGTATATGTTTATGAATGTGTGTATAGATAGCAATATTTATATCAACTTTTAAAATAAAGATTATGTCAAATAGAGAATTTCTTTAGAACTATAAATTTCGATTAGACAATATGAGTAAAAATATGAGTATATAGGGATTAATATATGTATACCTATACGAAATTATATTTAAAAATTTTCGGAAATCTTTGAAATGATAATGGTAATAAATTGTTAAATAAACAGTAAGATTTAATTCACCTTGAATTACATACAAAGTATAACACAAAGCGATTAAACACAAATTAAATTTTTTCTACCGCAAAAACACAATATCACAAATAATTGTCTATATGGTCAGTCATATGGTCCTCTTATATATGAAATCACTTAACTAGACGCAATCTGTGCCAAGTATTACATTTTATTTATGACCATCTTATTCTATAATCCAATTCTATAATTCAATTTTACTATACTCATAATTATTTTATATAGTTAAAATAAATTCCGCAAAATATTGATTTTCAGTTTGTCAACACTTCGTGTGTACTTGTATGTATACACTTACGAGTACAATATAGGAAGTTTATATGATAATCTCTCAAGTATGTACTCAAACTTGAGACTGCTACTTATAAAATTTGTAACAATATACTTAAGACTAGGGGCGCCTGTGGTTTGCTTATAAGCAGCATTATCTGTTGTAAAAACAGGATTGTGGCAATCAATTTTAAAATAAGTTTAGAAAAATTTGTACATATTATGGCATACATATGCAGGTTATACTTGTATATGCATAAATATCATATTGGTTTGAATACTAATGATAAATAAAAGTAATGGAAA